TTTTTGTAAGGGCTGGCCGTGCTGAACATGAACAATGAACATTGAAACATTAGGGTGCACAAGGCTACCTGTCCCATGAGAGCATTTACATTGAAAATCAATGTGTGTCAAAAACTTTCCATATGTATGTAGAGACCTTGGTCCCTTTTAAGGGAAAGCTAATGAACTTATACAATATAGGCTACATTTTAGAAGTTCAGTTCATTAGCTTTCCCTTAAAAGAGACCAAGGTCTCTACTCACATATGGAAAGTTTTTGACAGACATTGATTTTCAATGTAAATGACCAGGGCTGAGTTTCCAGAAACCTTCTCAACGCTACGTTGTTCGTAAGTTCTGTCTTTAACATAGAACCTACGCATGACGTAGAGATACGAAGGCTTCGAGAATCTCACCCCAGATCTGTGCCTGTTCCTTCATGTGCAACCACTGACTTGGACACAATTCAATTCTCCCACAATAAATTTATTTGAGCAGAGGGGACGTTTCACCCACGATAAATTTTGCCAAACAAAAATATCGCAGTATAACAAAAATAATATAACAAGCCTACCTTACATATTCCTCACCTCTCCAAAAAAACATGATGTAACTATATTCCCCCACAAAAAAATTTGCAGACTTCCCCATGATACATTTCATCGACCAGCTATCTTACTGGTACTGATAAAATATGCCAAGTGGGGAAGCTAATGACAAAAATCAATAGAAATTTTATTACAGAATATTCAGAAAATCATCTTGCACCCTACAGTTTTAGAATTACTGAATTTGACAATTTTCTGGGAAGTCTGTAAAAAGATCCCCGGACTACTGTACGTGGATGACTGTCCTCCCAAGGTGGTGGCTGCAGGCTCAATATTTGCCCTTGGCTGCCATTTGTCATGTTTTTCCAATTTTGGAACGTTGAGCGTTGCTTTTGAGGTTGACATGTTCTCCTAACTGGGTTTTTTTTATTGTGCTCCTATCTATAGTGGACCCTGCCCTGTGCCATCTGTGTTAGAGCTCCAGGATCAGCATCATCCTATACAGGATAAGCAGTAATGGAAGATGGCTGGACACTGTTGTAAAGAAAGGGCACTCCAAAGGTGAATCATGCATTCGAATCATGTGGTCTGTTATTTCTACATTGTATGGCCAAATGTATGTGGACACCCCTATTAATCAGAGGAATTGCCTAACTAAGCCAAACCCATTGTTGACAAATTAAACACATAGTCATGCAGTCTCCTAATAAACATTTGCAGCAGAATGGGTGGGTGCGTGCCCACCCATTGGAGATTAATGACTATCCACTTGGCACCATCATAGTACGGCATCTTTCCAACAATTCTGTTTGCCACATTTCTGCCCTGCTGTCCTGGTCGACCGCAAGAGAGGTGACTGTGAAGGTCAAGATGCCTGGGTCACAAAAGCAGACTGAAATGGAAAAAAAATTACCCATCATCAATATACAGCCTGCAGGGTGGAGAAACAGGTAAGGCAGGAACGTTTATCAATTATTTATGAATCACATATGAAGTAAACATTAAATATATTGTTCTGGGTGTGAAATACCGAACCAATATGGACACGTTGTGTAGGAAATTTGTGAAGGCCTAGAAATGAACACAGCTTGCCTGCATCACTATTGTGGGCCTACAGGCCTTGAGCACAGTGCTGTAAATTGCCCCTCCCAGTAGAGTCTTCTGCTATCTTGTAGCCATGGCCCTGAGACAGTGGGCCATTTTCCTTCCATGTTATGACTACCTTCCTCCGTTTCCTGTGAGTCTGGAGGATCGCTTTATCAGGCCAGGTGCTGTGCCAAGCCTAGGTCTATGGGAAAGTTGTTACTGTGGCATCGTAAAAATGATGTAATCCACTTGGCTCTGGCCCTGTATCTGCCCCGAGCAAATTGTTTTTGCTCCTTACACTCACTGCCTTTACCATGGTGGATGTGCATGTGGACCCTGTTCGACTAATACGGGACTAATGCTTTGTCTTACATTCTAGTGATTGTTAATCCAATTATTCTTATTAAAAATTAACTTCATATATGATAAATGTCTGTGACAACGCCAAGCCGCCTGTGAAGGAGGGTGTCCCAAACCAGCACACTTGTGTAGCATGTGTGTTAACTCATAGCCACACATAATGTCCATCTTCATCAATTTAATATCCGCTTTGTCTCAGGATCCGAGAGTGATCAGGATGAAAAAAATACAACCAAACATGTGTTTCTACATGAAATAACTGTGCATTTTTTTTTTTGGATTTTATACTTTATAAACTTTTGCAGTGTTGCTATAAACATCTCAGTGCATTTAACAGTGGATACATATTCAGTGTTGCGTTTTGGAGCAACTCATTGCATTGATAGTATATAAATATTCACTATGGACAAACTGAGTGCTAATTACAAATGGGGACAGGGTGTATAGCAATATTTCAAATTAATTTGGACTGTGTGATTTTTGTACATTCTTGACTATTGTGTGGGTAGTGGAAATAAACTTAAGATTTTGGTCTGAGTAGTATTTTATGTGTACGTTTTAATATTGTACTACTTTATTATTTAAAGTTATATTTTTTAGCTGACCTGATTTTAACCTGACCATAGTCAATGTTCTCTATTTGATAAATAAATGTAACAAAGCGTAATCTCCTTTTCAGTTAACCATAGTGTCTTGTGGACAACTTTATGAAGAGTTGCTCGTTACTTTTTCCTGGGAATGGTTTGACATCACAGAGTTGCCACCCATCCTGTGTTTTTCTAGGTCTGTGTTTTTCTGTACTGAAAAATAAAATGTTTATTGTTCCATATTTCGCAATTTGTCCTCCTTCTCCCACACCTGACAAGTTTTATTGGCCTGTATTGCTTCAGATTGAAAGTGCAAACCCTCAATGCTGGTGACTGGAGTTTTAAGGACTTGCATTCTGTACGTTCAACTGTGTAACAATGCTTCAAATGATTTAGTAATATTTACAGATTTAGTTGGCACAAGTTTTCAGCAGAGATTACAATACACAATAGCCATCACCAACATCTTTTCCTAGGTTACCCACAGTATCTCAGTATTAAATTAATATGTAGCTGCTGTACTGTTGCTTTCCTCAACTCTTGAAGTTTCCTCTACCAAGTTATTTATAAATTACCAAAACAATAGCATGCCCCACTAACTCAGAGCCATGTAAAGAGAGTGTCATGTCAACTCTGTTCATTCTAATGGACCATTTATTCATTTTTTTTCACAGTTACGGGTCATAGAGCCTGTCAATAGTTCCCAGAAGTTATCAACAAATACTAGCAGCACAGCAGAGCAAATACTAGCAGAATAGACTATTTCTGATGCACTTTTAAAAGGCAAGTCATAAAAAAAATTGGATTGTATATTATCAGCACATCACTATCAATTTATCGCATGTTATAAGATTATTCCTCACTAAATTAATAGATTTAGGGAATGTTAACATAACAATGACAAAAAATTGACGTCATTCCCTCCCGACGTTCTGTGCTCCTGAATGTCTCCCGCCCTGAATGAACCCTGTGTTCACCCAAATCCCCGGACTGCTACGCCTGCTTCCCCGCTCCGTAAACCGGAATCATGACATAGTGGGATATTTTTAAAGCAAAAAAAGGAATTCAAAACAAATACATTTCTCGCAATCTGTAGGTTATTTAAACTGCAAGGATGACAAGAATCATGAATGGCTCTCGAAGTGCATGCAGAGCTCAGGCAAGAGCAGTGGCGGTAAACTAAATGTCAATCAGTGCCAGTGCCAGTTTTTACAGCAGTGGAAATCGAACACCTAGAAGTTCCATACTTTTGTATGCTTTTGTAGTACCAAAAGTATGGTACCTGATGCACTGGAAAAGCGCCTTAATCCAAGCACTAGTTATCCTGTGATCTTGAGACTACTGCAACTGTCAAGTTTATCTGCTTGCACTGTTGAAGCTTTGAAAATGATTAAAAATGCATGTTGTTTTCAAACTCAGGTTACACCCCTACTTGTGCAATTACACCCCTCCTCACTGGCTTCATGCCGATGCTTGCATAAAGTCTGTGGTTATGCTTTTCAGATTCTCAAGCAGTTCCAAGACCCATGTCCCATCTTGCCCTCTTTGGTCAGCAAAGCCAACACAGCTTGGAGTCTCACTCCAAATGTTTCTCCTGTGTGGTTCCTCAATAGTAGAATGACCTGCCAAACAACATCTGATCATATTCTCCCTCCACCTTCAAGAAACGCCTCAAGCCATCTCTTCCTGTAACACATATTTTAGCCTAAAACACTCTATGTTCCCTGAATGCTCTTAATGTCCCTTTTCTAGCATCTCTCGTGGCTATTCAGTTTTTACGCCTGTCTCCTCCATAACATCAATCTCAAAGCTTTGTATGCTACAATTTTTATTGTTTCCCCCAATATCCAAACTCAGTGTTGCAATTACATGGTGATCATAAGATAATTGCATATACACTCAAAGGCTTATCCTGGGGATATACTGAACATGTTATGGGCATTAGTAACAGTGTCACTTGACCTTTCCAAACAAAATGCATGAAATACAGTTTTGGAGTTTTTGTCCATTAGCCCAAGCAGGCATACCTGCTCGCTGATGCAGTCAGGGAGGTCCTATCATGTACTGTATACTGCATGAGGAATCCTATAGCTGACACTCCACTTTCCGTATAATGAACGGGAGGCCGCTTACTGAACTCTTATCGCTATCACTCTATACTGAACGGGGAGTCCTGCAGTTAACATGCCACTGTCTGCATAATTTACATACTTCATGCCATCAGTATAGCTTTTTGTTAAAACTGTCAACTTGGCAGTGCTTAGCAAGTCTGGTTGTGTAAAGCTAGTGCAAGTTAATTATTTTAATTAGAGCTGAAAACACATTATACATAGAATAAGAAGCAGCCTGTGTAGGTAAAGGAGGTTACATCCTCATCAGGGGATGGATTATTCAAAGAAGGGTGTGAACCCAGTCAATATAAATACCTGTTAGAGGGAAGGTCACAGCATCTCAGACAGGCTTGCAAAGCTGGCAGCATGGAGACCCTTGTGTGGATGAAGCTCCTGACTGTCTTCTCGCTATTGTCCGGTACGATACTGCTTACTAATTACAATAGAAGTGGTTAAATTTTTCGTTTGCTTCAGTAGACAATGGAAAATTTGTGTAAAAAATCTGTACATCATTAATTGAAAGCTGTACTTTGAAATGTTTTGAAATATCTCCATTGATTCATCTTGTGTATTCCAACAATCATTGCTTATCAGCAGGGTCAGAGTGTATATGATATATTATGCATCTGTTTTTACATTTTTAGGCCAGATTGCGATTACAGCAGCAGGACCACGTAAGTAAATGCAGTTTGTTATGACCTACTCAAAAATAAATTGTCATAGTATTACCATGTGCAATAAATCAGCAATCAGCTACATACAGCATGTTACTGTTACTCACTTACCTGCAGAGTGAGGAATGTATTAATTACTCTTAAAAGCTTATTGGTCCTTACTGAGCTTGGTTTGTTCCCTCTCCTCAGTGGTGTGTGAGACCTACGGAAGTGGTATCATCCAGCCCTTATATGACGACCCATTTTACGTGAGAACCAGCTGTGCTTCTGAATTCATCAGCTTCACCTACGGAAAGGTGGATTGCCGTATCACTTTGACCCGAGACGATGGTCTGATTGTCAGAGCTGTGATTGACATTAACCAAATGAAGATGGTCCTTGAAAATGGCACTGTCCTTGTAGAGGGCAACAGGTGAGAATCTTAATTATTCTTAACATTTCACTCTATACATATACTAGAGGTGTAACGATATTCGGTATATTATCGAGCCATTCGGTATGCCCGCGACAGTTTAATACGCACACATGAACTATGGTATTACAATATGCCTGTCATTTTCCCATACATATTGATGTGAATATAAGACAGTGTTTTTCCCCAAAAAAATACATCTAAAAACTGGAGTTGTCTTATTTTCGAGGGCTAGAATTTAAATGTTATTATACAATTCTAAATTATCCACCTCCTGGCTAAAGGTAGCCACATACTTCAGATATAATCAAAGTTGTTTCAGCAATACGATGTTGTATGAGCAGTGATCCCACCCATTGTAGACAATTGGCTGACATAATCCCACCCGCTGTCGGTAATTGGCTGACATAATCCCACCCGCTGTCGGCAATTGGCTGACATAATTCCACCCACTGTCGACAATTGGCTGACATAATTCCACCCACTGTTGACAATTGACTGACATAATCCCACCCGTTGTGGAAAATTGGCTGACATAATCCCACCCACTGTCGGCAATTGGCTGACATAATCCCACCCACTGTGGACAATTGCCTGACATAATCCCACCCGTTGTGGAAAATTGCCTGACATAATGTGATGCCATGGGGCTGGTCAGCAGCCAACATGCTTTACACTGCACCGATCTTATCTTCAAATGGTGTAAATTGATACATGTATTTGTGTATTTATGCTAATTGTAAATGTCATAACTGTGTAACACTTACTGTGTAATCCATGTGTTTCATCAGCATGTAACTGTGAGTGTCATGTAAACTATTGGCTTCCTTGTCTGTGCCGCACCTACTATTAAATCGAAAGTGGCTATTATCTTAATAAAGAGAGCATTTCATTTTAAAGGAGCTGTCATCTTCTTTATTTAAATCACTCGCCACAATGCATTTTTTTACCCCCTTTTTTATATGTACATTTACTGTGCTTTGATTGCCTGTAATTGCTTTTTAACAGTGATATGCTTAACTTAGTACATGTTCTTATAAAATAAAATTAATTTTCTTTATAAATATCAGACTTGGTAGCAGTCACCTTGTTTCAGAGAGTGTTTATCTTTTTACCTCACCATAAAAAATAGGTATCTCATTAGGGTACTTTTTTTGCACTTTTACATATAATATTGCCTATATAAATTTGTACCCTGTAGAGAAGGCAAATCACTTTGAGGTTGTCAAAGCTTAGAGAGAATACTAACACAGAATGCTTAGGCAGGTAACTCACTTGATATGACACTATTATTTTTAAATTGAATATTACCTGTACAGGTACTGTACATACTACTGTACTGCACATAATACACTGTTAATTTAAAATAGTATAGGCAGAGCACCTACATGTTTTTCTTTCCTTGATTTCATACAGTGAGGCCTAGTAATTCATGCTGCTTTTTTTCTGAATGGAATCGCCACCTTACCGTGGTGGAGGGGTTTGGGTGCCTCTGTGATCCTAGGAGCTATGTTATAGGTAGGATCTCACTAGGCAAATTGGTCCAGAGTGAGCGCCCAGACTAAGTGCATTCAGATTCAGAAAATCCCCATGATGAGCAATATTATAGATCATTACCCTGGGGATTGGGGAGATTGGGGCCTTGCCCTGATGTGTAGCCTGACCGTGAGTGTGATCATGGACCTGATATGCAGCCTGAACATGAGTCTGATCCTGGACCTGATGTGTAGCCTGACTGTGAGTGTGATCATGGACCTGACGTGTAGCCTGAATGTGAGTGTGATCATGGACCTGACGTGTAGCACAAAGCTCACTGCTGCCTGCTTTCCCCAGTGTCACCCTTCCATATGATGACATGTACCTGCATATCTTCCAATACGGCATCTACACCAAACTAACAAGCAGAATCCTCCCTGCATCTACATCCATCATATGGTACAATGAGAACAGTAAGATCACCACCTTTCGGGTAAGAGCTCATTCGTCAGTTCTGAATGTTGTTTTATGTATTACAAAATAAATAAAGAATCAGAAATCAGCTTTATCCAAGAACTTTGCAGGTACATTGAATTTTTTTCCTCATCATTGTGAATGATGAACAATTTTTTAGGTGGAGCTGGATGACAAACAAGTGTCTGTAACTTCAGGATTTTGTGGTGGGTTCATTTTACCAACATAAATATGAATCATGATGTGTTTTACTGATGATAAGCTTCTGTATTATTATACTTTTTATTTGTCTATTTTACCGCAGCGGATACTGACATGAAGAATATCATTTCTGATAGTTCTTGTTTGACAACAACTATCACACCTGCCGAATCAACGGTTTGTGTTCCCAAATGATCTACATGCCAAAAGATATTAGTTTATCTTTTTTGGGACTGATGACTTTCTCTTTTTCTAGGATTGTGATTATACATCCGATGTTGTTGCCTGTCGACTTGATATTTCCATAGAAACTTTAATGGATCTTTGCCTAATGAATATTGCGGATATAAGCAAAACAAACGAAAAGAATGTACTCTGTTCATATTATCATGAAAACGTGCAAAGCTGTGACCTGGACAGCAATAACCAATTTCCAATAGGAAACTACATAGTTAATACCTGGAGGACACAGACAGGCTGCCGTAAGTAGCTTTTTGCTGTATTACCACATTTCCTCTAATATACATGATAAGACTTAAGATGCTGTTAAGGGCTCAGTGTTCTCCCCGTGGGTATTCAATATGCCTTTGAATATCTTCTTTTCTTACCAAACCAGCACCACCAACCTGCCCTGGTAACCAACAGTTTCGGGAGTTTGGCAACCCCTTTTCACCAACGTGTTCCAATCCCACTCTGGACACAAGCACCCAAAAAAATATCAGCACGTGTGTATGCCCAAAAGGTGAGGACCACTTCGGTGGGAAATCCAGCAGAAGCACTGGGGATCGTACAAGGATTCACAGGATATTGTTAGGGGACGTGGCAGAATGAAATTATGCTATTTTGGCTCAGAGGAAAATTGGGTTACTGGCCATAATGACTGCAGACTGCCATATGTCTGTAATATGCTATTTTACTCACTTTTATGTCACTTTGGACAAAATGACCTGCTAAATAAAATAAATGTAAATCTGTACTGTTCATACCTCACAAGAACACTGTCGCAATGTTGCTTGTTAGGGATGGTTCTGAATGACCTTCAAGGGCTACAGAACTGTGTGGCTGTGAAGGACTGCCCATGTACATACGCAGGAAAGTTATATAAGCCTAACGCACGGAGAAGCAAGAAATGCGGATCATGGTAAGAATCCGAATGACTGCGTGTCTGCTGCTAATGATAACCAGCTAACAAGGGTAAAGACATCTCATCTTTCATACAGCACATGTGAGAGTGGAAAATGGAATTGCATCGAACAGCCCTGTCCCTCAACCTGCGCAATCACAGGAGAGTCTGTGAAGACTTTTGATGGTGTTCAGTACAGCCTGCCTGGATGGTGCACTTATGTAGCCTCGGTAGGTGTGGAAGAGAAGTACAGGTGCAACTGCGGCTGCCCCATTAAGAATGCAGAGCCCCACAGAGAATACAGAAACTGTATTAGTATCATGTCATCTTTATTTTGAACAGGGGAGCACATGGACTTTATCCATTCAGCTGGCAGAGAAAACCGCTTCCATCAAAGAAGTTTCTCTAAGAATTCAACAGGTGTGCATATTGGCTCTTTAGCTGTGTTAAGAGATTAAATATCATTTACCATGTCATACTTAACTCATCAATGTCAAATTGTAATTGCAGGAAACTTATACATTCAGCAAGATGAGTGTGAGAGTTGATGGGGAAGATATCAAGGATTTCCATCAGACTGGTCTGTACTACTTCCTGATGCTATTAGATATTAGATGCTGAACACTGTATCACACGGTGATTACTCTCAGAAAAAGTTTCACTAAACTGATGCTTGAAGTAGTAACAATATATATATTTATATTTTAGGCATGTCATATTGTCCACATCTTAAAATGTCATTTATATTATTGAGACATATAAAGAATACAGATTTTTCTATTTATTTCTCATTGGCACTATGACCAACATTTTCTGTGACATAAAGGACATAACAACATTATAAATATATGGGCTCATAATATATATAATAACATTTCACCAATTGCTTTTGCTTTTTCTCCAATGGCCAAGCTGTCAATCAACTGGCCTTGGTTGGGCCTTCCTGTCCTGACTGAGTAATCAGCACATACGTTATCAGTACAATACATACTGTAATGTCCTCCATTCCAAGTTTATTCTCCTGTACGTCTTTTAAATGGACATGAACTACGCTTTGTGGCCATTTAATGGGTTGTATTGAGCTACATGCATATTACATCACAATTTGTGCATAGTGGCCATTTTACCAGGAAATGTCGACAATATCGTCCATTTCTTAGTTACAGAAAGTTCTATGTTTCTTTTCAACATTAAATAAAGTTTCATATAAACAAAATTTATAGCAACTGCTCAGGACCATAAAAGCTGTGTTTTCTTCAGGCAAATGGGGCCAAGCCATTTCTTCCTAATATTTGAAAGAAATAATCTACCACCACAGTTGACCGTGAAGTCTAAATACACGCACAATAAGGCACAATAATGCTTTCTTAAATTAATTATAATGCGCAAATAACAACTTACTATCTCATTATAACAACTTATTATGTCTAAATAACGACTTATTGTCTACGAAAAATAATTAATCAAATGCGGTTTAGGCCTTCCGTACGTTAGTGTACCAAGTAAGCTACTGATGTTACCAGCATGTCAGCATGACTTAATGCATTTTTTAACATTGGTGCAAAGATTAACATAATGAGTTATGTCGAAATAACAAGATAAAATCTCGTTTTAACGACTTATAACGTTGAAATAATGACTTGTCGAAATAACGACTTATGTCAAAATAACGAGACAATATATCGTTATAACTACAGTACTTATTATGTCGAAATAACGACTTATTGTCTCCAAAAAAAAAAAAATCATCAAATGCAGTTCAGGGCTTCCGTAGTACCTCTAATAATTTTGAAATTATAGTAAAATTATAATAAATTTTATTTATTTTGACAACTCAACATTTTAAGTCTTCCAACTTCCAAAAGAGAAAGGAGAGGGAATTAAATAATGATGGAATATCAGTAATCAAAAAGAACGGGATGCCAGCGGTATAACTTACCGATCAGGGTAGGGGCGGGAATGCTGTTGGTAAAATTTGCCTATCAGGGCAGGGGGCTATCATGGCAGCAGATCAACTATCCATGTTTAAGAAATGTATCTGCTCCCTCTTTTGTGTGACCCTAGGTTGTAGTCTAGGACAGTCAATAGTAGTAAGGGACAGATTAGCTTCTTTGCGGGTCCTAGGCTGACATGGGTAGGGAGGCCCCTATATGGGCGATCTGAGCTATAAAAATACTCCCGAAACAGATGAGAGGGAACTAAAAATAATGGAACATCAATAATCTGCTAATCAAAGCACACGGTACCAGCGGTAAAACTTACCAATCAGGGTGGAGGTGGGAATGCTGCTGACGAAATTCGGGGAGTATCACGCCGGTGGATTGATTGGCGTCATTTAAGAAGTTAAGCGTGCGTGACCCTAGATTGCAGCCTAGGACAGTCTATGCCTTACTCTGCTTCCGAGGCTAAGGTTAGTCTTGATTTTTTCGTACGTTTGTTTAATTTTGTCTTCTCTCCACGTCTGTTAACAATTCGTCTACCACTCTAGCAGGACAGTATCAAAGACACAGGAGCTGTAAAATTAGTCTTGTAACCTTTGCAGCCATTTCTTCTTCTGTTGAGTTACTTTGTGCTGCTTGGCAGCGAAACAGCCATTAGCCTCCCACCAGACTCCAATGTAAAGAGAAAGCTGGCTAGCATGAAGTCTCAAAGCAGGAATGGTCCAAAGCAGCTGGGACGGGGGTGATTATTGTCAATCTTGAAAAGTGTCACTAAAAATGCAACTAACATTCATGTTGCTATAATTTTAATGATCATTTAGCCATAAATATAACTTAAATGTGGCTGCTTACCCTTGTCTTATGGTAAGTCCACTCCTGCTATTACTATAGATTTCATGTAAAAAAGTCATAAATATTAGATGAGAGCACATGATTGCAATATTTCCGTCAGTCAATATTTTTGTTAATAGATTTATATAATAGCTTTCTTATCAGCTCCATTTTGCTCCAACTTGAACACACGTCATGGCGTAATTACGATTTGCCTACTCCCTAGTCAGAACTTCCAAGTAGAACTTAAAGGCAGCATAAGATTTGCCACTTTGAGAAAGGTTAAAGCAGAAACAAAGATTGGTTCCTATTTTTGTTTCTGACTGATTAGAGGAGACTGAAATGTATTGACTAAAATCCAAACTCTATTATTGTCACACCCAGCATTCCTTTCCCTTTGTTTTCTCAGTTGTGTGGCTATAATGAAGCACACCTGTTACTTGTTTAATCCTGCCTCTCGATACAGCCCTTGTGTGGATCACCCCAGGTGCCTCTCGTCTGCTCCCTTGTCAGTGATGTATATAATGCTTCCCTGTCTTAGCTCCCCTGTCCAGTTATTGATGTTGCTGCCTGTATGTGCTCCCCAGTTTGTCCTGGGTTCTCTGCTGATTCTCCCTACCTCATTTTGAACCCCTCGTAGTCCATTGCTTGTTGCTTGTTGTTTTTGTCTAAATAAAGCCGCTTTTGGTTTTCCCCACGCCTGCATTCATTTCCGTCCTTCCCAAGACATGACAATTGTCTTTAGTTGTTTTATTGTTCCTGCTGTCCCATTTAAACCAGTGCTAATTCATTTCTTTTGGTGTTGTTCTCAGAAAATGTGACGGCATTCTGGCAGTCTTCTACATATGTTCAACTGCACACTTCATTTGGCATGAACGTTCAAGTCCAAGTATCGCCAAATATCAAAGTCTACATAACATCACCATTAACTGAGAAAGGCCAAACTAAAGGTATGATTTGTCTTATCACGAGAATTCATTATTTCCTTTTTTCCCCTCTTAAGTATCTAGATTTACATGTGTACATGTATGTCCTTCAGGAATCTGTGGGAACTACAATGGCAACACCAATGATGAATACATTTTGTCCTCTGGAATAACGTTGAGCTCTGCAGAGGCGTTTGCCAAGTCCTGGTCGCAGGGCGACTGCCCGGACAAAGACAAGAAAGACTGCTCTTCCATAGACACAGGTAGCAAAACAATTTGTGGGCTTGGGGAAAAAACACCATGTTAATATTTGCTATTTAACATCAAGTAGCAGACCATAATATGCTGTTTTGATTTTTGTAGAAGCCTGCCAGTATCTGAAGGATCCCACAGGAATATTTGCTAGGTGCCAAAGTGTGGTATCAGCTGAACGATATTCCCAGGTAAGAGCAACACTGAGCTATGACAAGTTACTGATACCCACAGACCAAGGTAATGTGTCCTGTGGCAAGAGTTATGCCATAGAGGCAGAAGAGGAAAGTGATTTATTATAGTCACTCCTGGGTACATTCCCACTTTCCCAACTACCGTTATATTGTGTGTCATTGTCCAAGCCTGTACCCCTCACCTCCAGTTACATGTCATTAGAATATTGTAAACATTTAGTATTAGCTAATAAAAAAATTAAGAAACTAAGCATGACATAATCATGATATCAAGACAATCCATCTTCTAGGTACAATCCCATAGCACCCACAACGATATATGATGAACATCATTTTCACTGCGACCACCCAATGCATACATGAGGTATGGACTAAGCAACCTCACCATCTGTCTGCATGTTCATAGGACTGCACAGAAAGCTTATGCCAGTGCACCGGCACCCAGGAGGAGTGTCTATGTGTGGCCCTGGAGAGTTATGCCAAGGCTTGTGCCAATCAGGATTCCCCGGTGGGTGACTGGAGGAAGGCTACAAACTGCCGTAAGTGCGCCAGCTGTCACCTGCCCCGGCAAGAGCAGGATATGCAATTGTCCAGCGTGGCATCTTCTGAGAGGAATTCGACTTAGCAAACCGCCAGTGCCACGCCTGGCAGGCTTCACTGCCGCACCCCCCCCTCACCGTCCGAGGCAAAGTGAAACTGGCCAGTTAGCTTTGCCAGGGTGGGGTTGCTGGCAGTGAAGCTTGCCCAGGGTACCACATCAGCTTCAAACTGCATTGCCTCTCTGTGTTCAAACCAAGGTGTGACCCTTTAATTTGCATTTCAGCTATAAAGTGCCCCAACAATCAGAGGTTTGACTACGACACTCAGGCCTGTAATCATACCTGCCGGTCTCTGTCGGGCCCCGACCCA